TTAATGTTATTTTTTATGATTAGTTTTAATTTATGTATGCAATTAAAATGTACTTTATCTAAATCTTTAATAATTCTTCAATAAACATTTCTTCATTTCCCATATTTTTACCCTGCTGAAGTGAACAAAAATGCAAAATTTATGATTTTAGATAAATTCTCAATGATCTAATTTACAAATTTACTTATTTCCTATTGATTATTAACTTTTGATATGCAGTATACTTGCAGAACCAATTAATTAACTGCATATTTCGAAGGTTACGTGTATACAGTAATCTCCCCATTTACTTTAACGCAATTTAAAAACTTAAGTTTTAAATAATCAACTTTACATAATAAATGATAATTACATCAAAAAGTTTTTTTTATCATCAGTAAGATTTATCATACATATAGACATATATTTAAAAAAACTTCAGTTAAAAATTTTCTACCTGAATATGAATAAAATGCTATATTTGAAAATAACCTCTATTTTAAACAGTTTTCCCGTGGCTTCATTTACTTGCTGATTTTTGTAGAACCAATTATTTGTGTAAGTAGAGTGATTACTGTGTAACATATAGTATAGTTAAAGTCAAATAGAGTTTATTTTTATAACATACTTCATGCAAACAAAATTGTAACAGAAGCAACAAAAATTAATTAAAAGAACAACTCTTAACTATAACATATTAACAATAGCAGTTTCAAACATTTGTAGTAGAGTAATCAAAAATTAACTGCAGAATCTCATAATTTTTAAATGATGTCCATTTTATTGTTTGTCATTTTTCGGTATAAGAGTGAATAATCTTAACTTTTGATATTTATCAATTTTCTTGGTTTCAGATACCTTCATTTGGAATTACAAATCACATCATTCTTAGAAAATGGCTTGAAGAAAATTAACAGATTTCAGTAGTCTTGTAGATAATTTCAATTCAAATACAAGTTAACAATTTACTTTAAATCTGCAAAATTTTAATTTTCAGTTTTTAATGCTAAATCACTCATTTCACAAAATATAACTTTTTCTTCATATTAAAAATAATTCTCAAATTATACAAAATCATTTCATTTCTTCTAATAAAATTTAACATTTCTTTCTAAAATATACAAATATTTTTCAACAAAAAAGTTCTTCACATAATTACTATTAAGAATCATCAAAACTGAGAATAATAGGAAATAAAACACCCCAGTTTTAAAGTATTATAAGGAAAGAAGTGTAATCTTCAAGAAACTTCCTAAATACATCTGAGACATTCTAGGTTTTCTTTACTATTATATAGAGAGAAACCATATTACAAACTAGTTACACCAAAATAATATATATATATATATTAGTTTGGTGTAACAAAACTCTGTAATATGACTTATCTGCATCCACAATTACATAGAAGAAAGAAAATTACATAATGATTACATAACAATGATCGTTTATCAACCTCAAGTTCAACATTTTGCTTTTGATATTTCTCATCTTTTTCTTTGGAAAAAGTTATTTGAGTAATGTTGTGCATTATTTAAAACCTTTCTTAACGAATTTCTCTTTAGATAGCATCAATTCTTGAACAAAGTTAAACACGTTCCAATTATAATGTAATATTAAAAATTTTTCCATCAAAAAATCAAAACTATTCTCTCTCTGTTTTGAAATAATTTACTTTTTATAGTAAATTACAGATATTGCACAGAACAAAAACTGCCACCACACACAGTCTTCAAGATTAATTTACATTTTCTAAAATATCAGGTAACTAAAATATAAATTCTATACAGATTACATCAGCAATGTTTATTAATTAAAAATAATAATCCTTTCCGGAAAAAATTCCTCACAACTTGCATTATTATATAATGAAATCTTGACATGATCAATCCAAGAAACATTTTAATTTATATTATAGAATATTTTTAATCATTTTCTGCTTACACTTTCTGTTTTGACTCTTGATGATAATGAGAAAACAAAACATCATAACATTAAAGAGGAAAATAGTGTTTCATCAGGCTAAGCAAACAATATTTCTGTTAGGCCTATATCTTATTTTTCTTATCAAAGCATTTCTCTTCAGGAGTTAGCTTTTGTCAGAAATATGTAGTTTGTTATGCTATAGCTGAAGGCACATATTATATCTTCACATTACACTGTATTCACTTTGTGCAATTTTTTTTTATCATCTATTTAATAAGACCAAAATAGTGATATATATATAATTTCCTGACAACTTATTATGATCACTTACAAAGCTTCACATGTTTAGACTGAATATGCTGCAGCACAACTAAGCCATTAAAAACTTTGCACTAGCCACCATCACTTTCCCAAATTAAATCCAATAGAAAATGCTTGAAATCTATCTAATAAAGTATCAAAAGGAAGTATCATCAACAATGTACAATTATTGTATAAAATAATTTATCATGAGAATCATAACAATATGCTGCAAAAAACAATAATAAACTATATTGAATGCACACACTTCATAGCTAGATACTATCATCTAAGTCAGTGTTCCGCAACCGGTGTGCCGCGGCACACTGATGTGCCGTCACATGGTGAAAGGTGTGACGTGAACTTTTACATATTCTGTTAATTTCAAATTTTATTTATATATTTTTATCACAATTGTTGTGTTTCTTATGTTATCTTTTGTATGTATTTCATTCTCTGCCGCAACACTGATGAAATAAGATGATGTTTGTTTATTCTTTATTACAAGCTACCCATTTTTATGTATTCTAATAAATTATATGTAAAGAAAATTTGCTCACAGGTGTTGGTATCTGTTTAATAACAATAATAATAGGTTAGTGGCATTATGTAATTCTATTAATAGTATCATATCATACGTTTTTGAGGGGAATAACATTTTGGTGTGCCACGTTGAGTCATGGGTGTGCCACAAGTAGAAAAAGGTTGCGGAACACTGATCTAAGTGAAAAATGGTCTAACAAAATATTGATTTAAGATGGGCCTAATTATTAAAAATACAGAAATACTTATAACATGTTAAAATTAAAAACGTTTAACAAATTCTTATGATTTTATCTCATTAGTACTACAAATGCAGATGGTTAGATTATTATTGCAAATCTACATACCTTCTAACCATTCCAAATAAAATAAACAATAAATATATTCTAATTAATATTCACATATTCTATTATTATAACTGTTGACAATGACACTAAGACCCTGGCATTACAATAGTTAAAGGGCACAAAAGTACTCCATCCTATTTATTGCATGAGGCTGGGTCCTCACCCGTCGACCTTACAATTGCCATAACATATCGTTACTCCTTACGCACCAAGTGTTGCTGGAATGGATATCGGTAAGCTCGACATAAAAAACAGATATGGTGAATTTATCATTAAAAATATTAAACCTATTTTTTATCTCCTCCTCTTTCATATATTATCAACTTTTCATAAACAGTAAAGCACTCATACTTTCTTTTTCATATTTAATGAAAAGAAAATGAATAATTTTAACATTTAAAAATTATTGAATTAATGAATTCAGGTAGAAGAATGCAAATTTCAATTATTTTCCATATTTTACCACTTTTCTATCATTAATAAAAAAATGAGAAAAAATTATATTTTTATTTCATAATAATGCTGAAGGAGCTACAGACTCAAATGCATTATTTTCATAAAATTATAGTAAATTCTTCAGATATTACAAAAAAAAGTATTTCTTTAACTGCAGTAATATAACTGGTGCAATTATATAATTTTACACGCATTATCTTCAATTCTGTTTACCTTTAATGTTTCCGTCGACAAAGATAATTTCAAATTACGCAACAATTATATTTATTCACGCATTCTTTTACATAAGTGCACGTTAAGCTTGCGAACACCCAGAATCGATTCGACAAGTTTTCCATTTTAAGAAAAACTTTTGAGAGATTCGAATTTTTTTATTTATTTATTATGTCAATAGGAAGCGTCACAAGATAGCTGCAGTATCAAAATACCATCACCTACTCTTTAATCAGTTTTAACACACGTCCCAAAAGCGAATCGTCTCGTCAAGGAAATACAAGAAAAAATGGCCTCTATTTGGGGATCGGAGAATTTTTAAAATTTTGCAAAATTCCAAGAGTTTTCTGGCAAATCCGGGAGCATCGACACACGTTCTGCATCGGTAATCAATCCGTCAGCCAAACTTTACGTCGACGCTCATTTTACGGCTAATCCCGTAGCAGACAACGCCGCATCCGACCGATTAGCTTCTCCGGGCGACACGATAGACAATGCAACAAATTATTTTTGTAAAGGTTAAAAACCAAGAAAAACACACACAATTGCTATTAATCTCGACCCATTTATTCTGTTTAACCGAAACAAACCAGTCGGGATATAAAAAAAAACATTCTTTGATACACTCGTGATCAAATAATGTCCTGTTTTAACATTTTTTCAATTTAATATCATCAAAAATTGATTTTACACTAGATAGAGAGTTTAATGACCAAAAAATAACTTTAGATCATGTAAAAATGATTGAAATAAAGCAATTTGACACCAAAAAAAGTGGGTGCTTCTCCAAGAATTATGCAGGATTAATTCCACTTACATAGTTATGCTTTTTAATTGTAATTAAGCCAAAACGTTCTTTTATCGAGATCATTGATGACGATTAAGGACAATCAACAACATATTTATGCAATTTTTAAACTTTAATCTAGAAAATTATCAATTAAATTAACTAGAAATAGTGATAAAGACGAAAAATATAACTTTTTAATTACAAAAATAACGCAGAAACGGCGTTATATATTTAAAATTTGACGTAAATAATTCAAAATAGGCGCAAAAAGTTGAAACGCAATTAAATCATTGGCAAAAAATCTAATTTCTACAGCAATATATTTAATCGAATTTAACGACTAATTGCATTTTTCTAGCGTTTATACGTAGCTTTATTTACTAATTTTTTTAAATTAATTAATTAAAAATTACAAAATGAAATAAATAAAGTATAACAATGTTACTAACCAAACTATATTTAGGTTGACCGTTTCCAAGATCGAACACAACACCCTCTTGTCGCATCAAACGACTTTAACGCCACACTTCGTCGAATTATTAATGTTTTAATAAATAATTAAATTGCAAAATTGTCGATTGTTGATAAATTTCATTTCTAATAGCTTTACACTAATTTTCTTGACTTCGACGGCAATAAAATAATACAACGTTATATTATTATATTATAAATGAAAATAATTCTGATTATATGGTATATATTTTTTTATTAGTAGATAGTCTGATTCAAAACGTCTGCAGACATACGTCATAGATATCATTTCAAACCGATATTTGATTTAAAAAAAAAAAACTTAAAATATTATTTGCCAACGTTCGAAAATGACTTCCGAATTTTGTGGAGTAAAATGTGCAATGTCTTTGAATAATTGAATGTATTGTTTGACCCGCGGCATTCAAAACGCTATGATCTGAATGAGGAGTCACACTTTTTCCGATTAGGCGCCGTAATGGAATAGAACTTAAGGAGTACGAGAAGCGTTCGAGGCGTTTAAGGTGCCGACCCAGCGCTCTGGGGAACCCGGGATCGTATCCGGGCCAGCAATTTCAACAATTTTCACGGCAATCTTCACAAATATGTTGGCCTCGTCTCTCGTCACCCGACTCATCTAACTACGCTACCTTGTAATAAATGATGCATCACATTTAGTTTAAAAATTATTGAAATAGAATATAGTGAAAATTCTATTAATGTTTATTAAAATATACTCTTATGAGGATGGTAAACAAATTAATTCGTTTTGTTTTCAATTTTGGAATTAGAGTAATCGGATAAGACAACGCATTACAAAAGCAATGTACCCTGGGAGATCTTTCTCTGGGAAATCAACCTCTATTTAGATGTTAGACAGTAGAATGTGGAAAACTCCGTGCGGCTAACCCGTTGATCGAACGAGAACCCGCCACCAACTACCAATGTTTAGTGATTTAAGTCATTTGGCTACCGGTGGGCTATTTTTTGGATCGTTCCGAAAAACTTGTAAGCATAATCACATATAGAAAAATACAGTAGATTTAAAATAACCGAAATAGAAAGTAAACCCATGACACGCTTGATACATTTTTACAGTTAGCGGAATGATCGCGCGGATAGATCCGAGTTCGAATTCAAAAAAATTCATCCATAAATAAACTATTTACAGTGAGCAATCCTCTTATGTAAATATACTACTTACGATGAGTATTTTCCTTAGAGAATAGTTAGTCCAGGAGTAGACACCAAATAGCAACAAATGAGGAAATGTCATATAAATATATACATATAACTAGTGTTTAAAAATACTATCTAGAGTTATATAAGGTCTTAACTTAATCAGGAAATATTAAAATGACTTATATAAGAATCCAATTAATGCAAATTAGTAAATTAGATTTAAACTTTGTTCGAATTCCTTTTTAACAATTCCCTGTCACGTCTACAGATTTTATAGTTCCAGTTATAATTTTAAAATGTTAACTGACTTTTCTTTTTATGTTATAGTGATTATTTGGCATTATGCATATTTTTAGCACTCCAATTCTCTCAAATTAAAATTTATTTAAACAATAGACAAATATAAAAGTTTTTATTCAAAGATTTTCAAAATTTTCTAAGTAGATCCTACAAGACTTTAAAATGTTTTACTAAATATTTTTCAATTATAATTTATAGTTCAACATAATAATATTTTAAAGATTATTAGGACACTCCGGAATAGAATCCGGGCGAGCGACCATTATGCTGGCTCTCCATTTAGCGCGATTTTGAGGTTATTCAGTTGCCTTTGTCACTGCTCATGCGCAGTAAAATTGCTTTCCGGTTAGAATCACCTTCGAGTGCTTTGGCAACAGAGTAGCGGGATGTATATTTATGCGTGGCGATTCTATTGCAGCAATTCGGCATTCAGTATCCATAATCCCAAGCAAATATGACATCATACTTTTACCCAGCATGGTGTGAAAATTTCGAAAAACTGCAAAATAACAGCTAATATGAGAAACAAAAAAAAATTGAATAATATAAAACTTAATTTTAGGTTGAATGTTTTGCCACCATTTAAAAAAATTCCCATAATTTATTGCAAATCGCCTTCCATTTCGCGAGAAATGTGCAGGCATATAGGGCAGAGATTGCGTCGCTCCATGAATCATCGGGTTATAGCAACGCAATTGCGCTAAGTAGAGAGCCAGAATTAGGAATTTTTCGTTTGTGGTCCGTCCCAAACCTATTGGGTCCCACCCATCACTACAGGGTACCCGACAGCCGGATGATCGCGTGGTCAAGGTGGCAGCCTACTGCTCTGGATGACCGGGATCGAATCCGGACGGGTCGAAAAACCCCAGGAATTTTTCGCGGAGGATATGTCGGGCTCCGTCCCTCACCACCCGGCTGCCCCGTAGTGGGATTGATAAAATAGGCCTTTTTGGTCCCCACAGGGCGGAAAGAGTTAAAAAAGAACGACCAGGTTCCCGTTCGTCTCTGTTCTGGGCTTGGCCAAATGCCCAAATCCTTGATTGATATAATTAAAGAGACCCTTTTAATGCTCATACAGTATTTAAAGGGTCTTTTTAATCATACAGCAAAATGCATCGGAGCGCTTCACGGCACTCCGACGCATTTTGCTGTAAGAGTTCACGTGCTGCATCAGGCGCTCTAAACATGAAACCAGCTGTACTCGTTCCTCCATCGTTAACTTATCACCCGCCATTCAATCCGGAAAAAATTAAATGTAGTTAAGAGTTAAACTCCTACGATGCACGACTTGTGGAATACCCTGTACAATAAACTCATTATTCGACTAGTATGTACTGAACCTACTTTATATTGTGAATATAGAAAACACTTTATTTTGTTTGGCACGTTTACATTATATTACACAGTTAAACAAGTGCGTGGACACGACCCAATGACACTAAATTATTGTCAGTCGATTGATTAACTATTGTGACGCACCAGCATATTGTAGACTCTACATTGGCTCAGCTTAACTCGCAATGGGATCGTCAGCATGGCGAGGAGTTAAGCATATGGGTAATCAGAGGTTGATTTACGATCATTGTTACAGAATAAATTATTAAATTATGAATAATTGATTACTTCATAACAATTTTACTTATTTATTACTAGAACAAAAATAACAATAAATCACACCTATCGTAAATAATTTACATAAAGCTAGATGCAACGGATAAAGATGATAAAATAAAGGAAATAGACTTAAATGATTAAGTCATGTTACAGGGAGAGGTAAAGAGAATCGAGAACTTAGATCAAGGATAGAAGTTTTAGAACTTGTTGTTAACAAAGATGCTAAAGAGAAAGGGGAGAAACTGGAAAAGCGATAGCAGGAGGCGTATCCAGATATCATCGTTAGAGAGCATGGAGAGTAGGTTTCTTCGTAAAAGGTTTCCTGTAGATAGATCTAAAAGACTTATTTTAAGGGGAGGCATATGCCCTCTCTGTTCTTCCTTGAACACTCCTCTGAAAGCTAGAACAGCCAAACTCAACCCCACTTAGACAGGATAAGAGAGGACGATTTACTTATTCAAACAATATGTGATGCATAAAACAATGCTTCTTCCTGTTTCGTGCCATTATATTGTATTTCTTATCCATTTAAAAAGATAAAAAAATAAATAAAAACTTTTAATATTTTCCTCATTTAACTAACTTTTATAATTTTTTAAAATAATGTATCCGCTGCAGTAAGTGATGTTCAAATTACCTTGTATCCTAAGTTAAAATAGAATCTATACTGAAAATTATAATTGCATAAATAAAAAGTACATAATTATTTGCGTAATATGTTACTAAAAGTTGTTGAATTTTGCGAGTGTGAAGAGAATTTATTTTTAAAATTAGAATATTTCATAAATACCCTATAGATATAGATATATATATTGACCCCTTCAATAATAGAAACCCTGAAGTTCAGTTAATATTCTATTAATAGAAAATAAAACAGTATCGAGATATAAATAAACTTATGCTAATTAACATTATTTTAAAATTTTAGTAGTTCACCTACTTTATATCACCAATTTTTACTGAAAAACAACTATACATATAGAAAGAGACAACCAATCACGATAAAGTATTTAAAATTTTGAATTTGAAATTAACGACCTTTTCTAACAGAATACTCGGTAATGCTATTTTTCTTCAATAGATGGCACCACAGATATAATTTACTCGAGCACATTTTTTAAGGGTTAAAATATGTTATTGTACTGTACGTACGGTTATTATGCGGTTTGCTACGTGCCAGCCGTTATTATAAAATTCATTTATTTTTTAAATAAATTTTTAAAACCTGTTAGTAATAAAATTTTATATGTTAATAATTCAATTTGTTTAAAGATTCATGACTATTTGCTGCCATAAAAACCCGGTATAACAATTCCATGAAGTGCAATAGTCGTACACGAAATACAGGTTCTGTCTGGATGATTTTTACTTTTAGTGACAAGATCATTTTTTTATCTTTTTTTAAATACTTAACCAGTTTGTTGAGATTATCAATTTATCATAATTTGATATTTTACGATTGGAATATTTGATAAGAACTTTATTGCTTCCTCTCTAAATGGTTTTCGTATTGAAAGACGTTTCTAAGTAACTAGATACAGATCTTGTGCCCTGTTAATAAGACCAATATCGAGATGCGCATATTTTAAAGAACGGGCAGTCTTATAAGTAATTAGGTATAGCCTTGAATGTAGATAGGCTACATATTTATTGTGGGAGGTTTATAAGTAATTAGGTGCCAGTCTCGAATTCGGTAGGCCTCCCGTTCCTCAAAAAAACCCGTAAGTAATTAGGCACAACTTTGAATGTGTTTAAATTCTTGTATTTATTGGAGAATAGAAAGTAGAAGGCTCGCGAGTAATTAAGTACAAGGCCCGAATCAAGATACCTATAGTCTATCTTTTGAAGAATAGGAGGCTTTTATGTAATTTGGTACAAAGGATCCTTAATTAAGTACAAGCCTTGAATTTAAAACTAAATTTTTTGATGAACACGGGGCTCTAAGTATAGGTACGAACCCGAAATTAAAATACGAATTTTTTGAAAATAAGGCTCGCAAGTAATTACGTACAACTTTCGAAGCCAGAT